AGTCCTCTCCTGCTGATGTTCAGGTGTATATCAGTATGTAGTGTCTCTACTTTAAAGAGTCCTCTCCTGCTGATGTTCAGGTGTATATCAGTATGTAGTGTCTCTACTTTAAAGAGTCCTCTCCTGCTGATGTTCAGGTGTATATCAGTATGTAGTGTCTCTACTTTAAAGAGTCCTCTCCTGCTGATGTTCAGGTGTATATCAGTATGTAGTGTCTCTACTTTAAAGAGTCCTCTCCTGCTGATGTTCAGGTGTATATCAGTATGTAGTGTCTCTACTTTAAAGAGTCCTCTCCTGCTGATGTTCAGGTGTATATCAGTATGTAGTGTGCGTGTGCGTGTGCGTGTGCGTGTGCGTGTGCGTGTGCGTGTGCGTGTGCGTGTGTACCCTGCAGGACTGGAGTCTGATACTGGGTGTAACTGCATGGTCAGCTCTCCCAGTTTACTGAAGGCGGCTCCAGCAGCAGAGAAGATCTCCCCCACCTGCAGAGAGACAAGTACAGTATATATACTACACTGTGGAAATACTGCAGTACAAGTAAACATGTACTACACTGGGAAGATACTACAGTACAAGTACATGCATTTGAAACATACCTTCAGTAAGTGTTATAAATGAATGCAGTTAGTAATCACTAAAGTCTGGATTTCTATAACTTTAGTGAACAAACAATAAGCCAAATTCACCATCAGATGATATCAAAGAAGAAACATATTACTACTCTTTGCACTCTGTGGTTTGATGCAGAATACACTTCGTTGTACTTATATGTCATTTAGATATGTGCGATAAGGTGTGTGCAGTACCTGCTCTTTAAAGAGTTCCTATACAGATGAATGCATTACATATATGCCGAGTTCACCATAACATTGTCAGATAATAAGAGATAAAGCACTCATCATACGGTCCATTTTTGCACAACAAACAAAGCAGTCTAATTAACAGGTGTCTTAGAGCAGCTCTAATGAGTTCAGATTCAGTTGAACGAACCCAGGCATTCTTATATAGTTTAGTGCATTAACGATATCCCGAATCACCATTGCACTGTATTCACTTCAGATAACAGAAGTTACATTAATGTCATTAACATGTAAAGGTCTATTTCTGCAGCTGCTCTGTGTGACTCCACTCAGTTTAATGACTCGTTTCTTTACAGATTAATGCATTTACTGTATGCCGAATTCACCATAACATTGTATACATTTCAGATAATTAAATATTAAGCACTTGTTGTCTGCTTAATATTTGTGAGATAAAGAAAGGTTTTCAAAAGGTTTTTGCCAGGTTTCTGAGTGTAGTTCTGCTCTTTAAAGAGTTCCCTGCACACAGTCCGCACTGCAATAAGTGCGTTAATTAATAAGCAGGTAACAACTCACCTTAGCAGAGGCTGACGTCATGGCAGGGAAAGATCTGAAGCGTTTTCTTAAAAAACTTCAAAACAATAACACCAACACTCAGCTAGCTGTTAGCCACAGTTAGCTCCTGCAGCGTTAGAGAGCACAGGATTTACAAAACACAAACAACGAAGCTCTGAAGAAACTCGTGGAGAATATCGATTATAATCCAGAGGTGTTTATATTTCACATATTCAGAGGAGATAAATATCTCACAACAAAGGTACACGGAATAAACAAGGGAATATTGCGCGACTTTGGAGGTGGAACGCCATTGGTCAGTGTCAAAGGAAGAGGCGGGGCTGGGCGTGCCAATCTTGACGTTTTGATTGGTCTTCACCATAGATTCACGAATCTTTTTTCCCTTTTATTATTCAAGAAAATATATATACGTCATATATTTTGTATAAACACAAAACAATTCAGGGATAGACAAATCAAGTATTGTAGAATTACATAAAATAAAAATACAGTTTCACATTTCAGCAATCTGGACATTTCATTGGTCAGTCTCAACGGAAAAGGCGGGATGTAACGAACTCGCCATTTTGATTGGTCGCTACGCTGGTTGACGAGTGAAGCCGAGTTTCAACGAGTGAACCCGAGTGATGCGGATCAGCTGACCGTGAGCCTCTGTCGTCCTTCCATGGCTAATTTCTGCTCAGTTTTGTGAATACAACACATATAAATCCGCTTCTGGTTGATCGATTGGACCGTCAAAAAGCAGGCATGCCGTCGCTTCTGTTCTGCGGGCCGAAGATGGCTGCGTGCGGGATCGTGATCAGCATCTGGGGGGTCATCATGCTGGTAAGAACCGGGGAGGGGGATGGCTACTTCCTGGAGCTATGTGGGGTTTTTAGTGAAATTAATGTCGGATCTTTTCAGTGATGAATTTATATTATTCATAATGTGTGTTCACCTTCATGATATCCTACAGAAAACTAAAAAAACAGCAAGAATTCGGTTGCAAAGTCGATTCATTTACATATTCTCCAGTCGATAGACGTCGCCCATTTAGGCCAAGTTACCATAGACATGAAGGTATATAAGATGTAATGGAATATTATAACAATATTAATGAACACCATTCTGATCAGTGGTGTTGTGCCTGTGTAATTAACGTTATGGAGCTGGCTAATGTCTGGTTTTCCGTTTAAATGAATGGTGACAGAGGATTAACCAGGAATGTGTCAGTGTGGTGTCAGAAGGTAATTTAAACACAGAGACATTTACAATATTTATTATTAATATACACTAATGAAATCCTTATACACTAGCTGGTGACAGGAGTATTCATATATCATATTAAAGTATATAGAGTTGTTTTCTAAATGACACATATATGAACAATACACACTAACAGTAATATATAATAATGTTGTGTATCATTATGTTACTTGTTTAACACAGAGATGTACCATCGCAATGCAACAATACTCCAGTAAATGAACAGATGCAAATATGATCAATATTCAGAATATAAAGAGGAACTAAAGAGGCAAAATAAATGTGACTTAAATGAATCATGTGACTTTTATTTTTGACATCATGTGATGTTTGAGAACAGGAAGTCAGTGTTTCCATAAATGGAGCATGAGGGAAAATGATCCACATGTGTTAGAGACAGTCACCGTTATAATAAAGGTACACATGTTTTGATAAAAGCCTCAGATGGTGGGTTTTCAGGCAGGACTTGAAGGTTGAGAGTGAGTCCATATTGCGGATGTCTTGTGGGAGAGAGCTCCAGAGACGGGGGGCTGAAGGCTCGTGACCCCATGGTGGTCCTCAGGCGGGCAGAAGGTACAGTGAGCTGGAAGGCAGAGGAGGGTCGGAGAGCACGAGAGGGAGTGGAGGAGTGAAGGAGTTCAGAGAGATATGGAGGTGTGAAGGGCCTCGAAGGTGAGGAGCCACATGTTGAAGTGGATGCAGTATTTAGCGGGGAGCCAGTGGAGTTGTTGAAGAACCGGGTGATATGATCAGTGGAAGGAGCTCTGGTAATGATACGGCGGCTGAGTTTTGGAACAGTTGGAGCTTACGAACTCTTTAATTGACTTTCGCATTAGGGCTGCTTGTAATTCATGACAACATTAAGTAAATAATTGAAACCCTTACTTTGTCTAAATAAATACCTAAATAATGAATAATTCACCTGAACGGGGATGTGGTTTCTCTTGCAGGGGATGCTGGGAATCTTCTTCAGCACCAAGTCGGCGATCCTGATCGAAGACATTTAGCTGCTGCATCAACTGACTGAGGAATACATACGTTAAACACCTTAGACTGTAAATATATATATATATAGGTTTATACACAGAGATACACACTGTGTTAAGATTAAGATCTTTAGACATCACAGTAAGTGTCTGGGCAGCAGATTAAGAGAAAAAACTGAATTTAAAAACAAATAGTGTTGAACCATTTGAGCACAGATCAAAATAAATGGAGGTTTATTGAGAATATGACGTAAATTGATATTTTAGTTTTCTTCTTTATTTGCAGGAGCAGCCAGATACATATCTTAACAGTTTAGTATCATTGCATGTTATTAACATGTATTGAATCCCCTCTGTGTGCAGTAAGAATCCCCCGGGGAACATCTACGGCCTCTACACTCAGGTCGGGATCAACTGCTTCATCGCGGCCGGGATCTACGTGGCGGTCGGCGCCGTGTCGCTCTGCCAGGTCCGCCTCAACAAGCGCCAGGAGTACATGGTCACATAGATGACACTCACACAGCCAATCAGCAGCCGGCTCGCTAAGATCTGAGCGAGCTGATTGGTTAACGGAGTGAAGAGTTATTTATTTTAAATGTTTGTAGATGTTGTTGTTTGAGACATTCCTGTGGGCGTCACTCGTGATGCACGACACATTTAAATATAAAATAAAGCAAATGAGGAATTAAATCTGATTATTATATTATTGCCTAAACAGTTTTATCATTTTGTATATTTTCCATCTTGTTTATTTTCAGTTTTGTTGTTGTTTACAGAGAAGGTGTAAGTGTGTTGATGCTCGTGCAGATCAAGCGTGTTTAATGTGAAGAAATGATGGTTGTGGATTATCCTGCAATAAAGTGTGTGTGCAAAAATAAATAACACTGGTCTGTTGTAAACTCACCATAAACAGAGAGGACTCTTTAAAGTAGAGACACTACATACTGATATACACCAGAACATCAGCAGGAGAGGACTCTTTAAAGTAGAGACACTACATACTGATATACACCTGAACATCAGCAGGAGAGGACTCTTTAAAGTAGAGACACTACATACTGATACACCTGAACATCAGCAGGAGAGGACTCTTTAAAGTAGAGACACTACATACTGATATACACCTGAACATCAGCAGGAGAGGACTCTTTAAAGTAGAGACACTACATACTGATATACACCTGAACATCAGCAGGAGAGGACTCTTTAAAGTAGAGACACTACATACTGATATACACCTGAACATCAGCAGGAGAGGACTCTTTAAAGTAGAGACACTACATACTGATATACACCTGAACATCAGCAGAGAGAGGACATTCATTCAGTTTGTAAATAAATTTAACTATCACAAAAGACAACAGCAACAAAACAGGTGAGGTAATCATATTTTTCACAAAACGAAGACCACACCATTGGGAAGCTTAACGTCTGTTTAATAAAAATAAGGAACAGGGAGAGGCTAGCAAAAACCCTGCGAGTTGAGACTGAGGCTCAGGGTGAGGGTCTCATTACAGGTCTTCAGGCTCCATTGAATCCCCCTGGGGTCTTGTGCTGAAAGAGGGAGATAAAGACAGGAGAAAGGGTTAGATACATCTAGCAACCTATAGGATGGGAAATTGCTGACCTATTTAAAACTTACCTTGTGTTTTCACTCTCACTTAAGTCCC